AGGAGGCTGGGACGCGCAACGGAGACACCGAGGCTTGCAAATTCGCTGACAGAAAAGCTCACATGAGGCAGACAGAGGACGTTGCCTGTTCAGAGACGGGAACAGACAATCCTCCAGAAGAGAAGGGAGACGGCATCTGTAAAAGTCCCGGGAGGGCGTGAACTAGGTAGCGCTGAACTCGGAGCTCAAAATGGGTAGAAACCGCCTCAAACAGACCCGCACGGTGAGGCTGAGACTTACGGTTACTTCCCGGGCTGAGGGTAAGGGTCGGGTGGACCCTGCAGCTCTGCAGTTCTGCCACCGCCGTGGCGCCCCTGTCTCTCCCGCCGAGCCGCTGACCTCAGGTACTCTCTGCGCCCCACCCACCCGGGGGGACGCCCCTTCTCGGCGTGCGCCCCCTCCTCGCCGGCCCGGATGCTCCCGCCTGGCAGAGACTGCTGGGGCCGAGAGTGCGCACTGGAGGCCCGCGGGGACGCTGCGAGAGCTGGAGGGCGCCCGCGGCGAGGCTCAGACTGGGCGGGCGCCCCCCATCCCTTTCTGGCCGCCGCGCCGCCTTACTCGGGGGAGGGGAAGAGGAGGCGGTGGCTCTCGCCTCCGCCTCGCGGTCAAGTCCGGCTCAGGCTCCAGCCTGGAGCGCGAGCGCGCGCAGCCCGGGCCGTCCTCCTCCCCTCCCCCGCCTCCGGCTCAGCTGCTGGCGCGCCCGCAGCCGCCACCACCCCGTCCCCGAGCCGCTCGCCACCAGCGCCACCAGCCCCAGACAGCCGGCAGTCCCAGCGAGAAGCGGCAGGAACGGCAGCACCTCAGCCACCGCCCCGGAAGCTCTTCCCCGCCAACCGCGAGGCTTCAAGGGGTGTGAACCCGGAAGCGATTTCCTCGCCCCGGTAGCAGCGGGATGGAAAGCTAAGGCCTTTGAAGACCTGGAATCCCCTAGTTTAGAGAGCAGGTGAAGTGTGTATGGCGCAGAGCTCAGAGGCGAGCAGAGGCCAATAAAGAGCCGGTGGGCAAGAGGCTCTCCGATCCCAGAGACCCGATCTCCCGAGTTGCCGGGTGTGGGTCGCGGCCGTACACGCCGGGCGGCTTCAGTTGGCGACCGAGTGTGTGTCTGTCACAGGAAGTTGGGCCTGGCCGCTGGGAAAGCGAAGGGAAGGCGAAATTGAGAAAGCTGTGAAGGTCCCCCGCCCCCGCCCCCCAGGTGACTGTCCCACCCACTGAGTTGAATGTAGCGGCCCGGGAGGCGCTCGGCCCCCAGCACGGGTGAGACGAGGAGGAGGAGGAGGATCCGGACTCCAACGAGAGAGACGGAGTGGTAGGAGGCCGAACTGTCTCGATCCAGGCAAGGACTTCATTTCTTATAAGTAGTTACAGAGACGCCAAAGACACTTTTTGGGTGGCGTCTCTTTGTGCAAAGAGGCATGCCCGCCCTTTTCTGGTAGTGGACGCTGATGGGTAGTGGTGGCCGAGGAAGACCCTCCTAGGAAGTGTTTATTTTTTCACTTCAGGAAAAGCGATTGACAGCAGCTCACCCCTCCTCTCTGTCCTCTGCATCTTTTAAAGCTTTTGGCTGTCCTTCTTTGCTTGTTTCTCCGTGGTGGTTTTAGCTTCACCAGAAATTTTTCATCTAGCTGACCTGACTCCGGATTTCACCTCCATTCCCATCTCACTCATGGAGTGGTTTTTTAACTTCAGTTTGCTTGCCAATGCTTCCTTCAGCATCATGTTTTTTAACTGTTTTGATATCCTTATTTATTTGAGGGAAAATGTCAAAAGCTCGAAAATGTTTTCATAACAATAGAAAATCGAATATTTGATGGTCTTTTCGACTTAATCCCATGTTAGCGTATTGGTTATTTTTCTCTTCGAACTGGGTTGTGGAACCATAGTAGCACTTGATATAAAGTATATTTGGATATACTAAGGATGAAATCATGCTCCCCCAAATAACCTCCTTAAATATACCTGATGTTCACTGTAGGAATTCATTAGTTCCTTCTCTGTTAGTCAGATTTAGTATAATTGCCTTCAAAAGTTATTTGAAGATTAGTAAATATCTTTCAGAAGAGAATGTGACTTAACAGAAAGAAAGTACTTGAAAATTACCAGTGATGCTTTTTGATATTACCTAATGTTTGGTAGAACTGGTTGAAAGGACGGGAACAGAGCAAACTAGAAATAGCACCAATGACTTCTATTCTGCTGTATTATTGTTTCCTCTCTTTTTATTACTGTAAGCCAATTTGAGTGGGAAAAGGATGAAATTTCTAATGGTCAGCCTATCCTTGGAGGGAAGTTCTTACTGATATTTAGTTGCCATCTCTTGTCTCTAATGCTATAATGCTTTAAAATATTAAATCGTTTTATGAGAGTGGAGAAGTGGCTGGTAACTTAGCTACTCCGCCTCGGTTTTTTTCTTCTGTAAAATGGAGATAACAATAATAATACCTACATCATCAGGTTTGGGGAAGAATAAAATGAGTTAATGCATGTAAAGCCCTTAGCACAGTATCTAGACTGTAATAATCATTGTAAGTGGTGGTAATTATTCATATTATTTTTAAAAGTTGAGAAACATTGCTTAAGGATGGAGGAGAGGGAATCAGGAACATCCTACAGAGCCCTAAGATAATGCTCCATTTTTTTGTTTTTAATTCATGAAGTACACTTTCTGATCATTGTTGCTAATTTATATTAGCATGTACTTTGCAAACTGGTAAATCATCTTGTCTGAAGTAGGAAATGGCAACCCACTGAGTGTTCTTGCCTGGAGAAGCCCATGGACAGTGGAGTCTGGCGGGCTACAGTCCATGGGGTCTCAAAGAGTCGGGCAGGACTGAGCAGCTGCATACACAAGTCATCCTGTCAGCTTTGACTTCTGGTAGCTAAACTTACAATACCTATGTTCATGTACTGAATCTTCTCTTTTTCTGCACTGCAAAAATACTTTGAAAGTTTGTCCATTTCAGGGATTCCGTGGCGGTCCGGTGGTTAATTTAGACTGTGCATTCATTGCTTAGGTCCCAGTTTCAATCCCTGGTCAGGGAACTAACATCCTGCAAGTCTTGTGGCATGGCCTACATAAATAAATTCATTTCATTAAATTTGTCCATCTGTACTCTATGTAGTAAACGTTTCTTATTAACAACATTATTGGCAGTTTATTCAACAGGACCTGCCCCCTGAGGACCAAATGGCATCTGTTCACCCCATTTCTCACCCAGTCATAGTGATGAGAAATGCCTGTATGTATTTTCAAATGATGCCTAGTAGATGTCATGGCCAAATGAGAACCTCTTCACTTATTTGTAAGGCATCATTAGTCAGGCAACATATTATCATTTACACCTAAGCATTTTCCAGAACAGAATTATTCGTGAACAAAATGCCACATTCTTCCTATTCTTAGTCACTTGAACGCTTATCTAAAATCAGTATAAACGCATTACAAACTCTAGTTATACCTTTTTCTGTTATTTCTAGCTCAGATTACTCTCTTTCAGTCCTTCTGCATGTGATTCTGCCTTAGCAGTTTTGTCTTCATATACTAGTAGCCTTTGTTCTTTTCCTAATTTAAGCCTTTGTTTTCTTCTTTCATGTCACTGGAAGTATGTATATATCAAATATTCATTTTTTTAATTGTATCACATTTGTTTATCTTTTAAAAATTCAGTGTACTGTGCAATACCAAATATTCTAGATAAGTGATAAGTATTAGGAAATAAAGCACTTTGCTAATAGATTTTTTCTTAACATGAGGTGACGAACAGTTTAATTAATTTGCTTTAAAGTGTGTTTAGAAAACTAAGAATTACTTGATTTCTCATTTTAGATGCTTAATAGAAAAAGGCTTTCTGTAATTGTGCCATGTATGTTATACAGTGTATTCATGATGCATATCTTTCTTTTGGGGACTGTCAGTATTCAAAGAGGCAGGCATACATTTCAAAACTTAGTAGGTTTTATATCTTGAAGTCATTGTTAATCTGAGGTGAAAAGTAAATGCTAAACTGAAATTCTGAGACGAAAAAACTCTCATCCTTTTCACTAATAGGAAGTTCTGTTGCATGAGGTGGTTTTTAAGATGGTCTTATGAAAAAACCAAACTGAAAAAATCCCACAAGGTATAGAGTGAGAATGCATGTCTTCAAAACTTTATGTCTCAAATCTAATGTTTTATTGTAGTTTCTCTGTTATCTATAGTTTGTCTGGATCTAAATTAGTGAAAATTTTTATAACCTAAGAATTTTTTTAATTTATAAATAAATCTTATAATTTAAAGTTGTATTACTTAAATAACTTATAAATTAAAATAATTTTAAAATTTTGTACAATAATTTTAATTCTTTTAAAATTTTAGCTAGTGTTTACTTAAAATGTCAAAAGTTACTGAATTTTAAAAGCATTCTTTTTAGGGAAATTTTCCAGTTTTAAGGCAGTGGAAGGGAGTAAATTAAAGATTTTTTGTTATTATGTAAAGAAGTGAATTAAAGATTTCCATATGACTTTATTTTGCAGTTGAGAGAACAGTAAAAAGTCCTCTGTCTCCTCTCAGATGACATTCAAAACCTTTCTTGAAAATGAGCTCTTTTTTTCTGAGAGTTGGAGCAATAAGGAAATTGTTAAATATAAACAGATCATTTTAATGCCTAATGGACTTTTTAAAAAACTGAAGAAGGTTCATCTTACCACGGCCAGGAAAGCAACTCCTTGCTTGATGTTCTTCTCGAAATTTACTGGCATATAAATGAGAGGGAAATTTAAAATAAAATATATTCAGTACAAAGAGATGTATTTTAGTGTGTATGTGCTGTGTTTAGTCACTCAGTTGTGTCTGACTCTTTGCGACCCCATGAACTGTAGCCCACTATGGGTATTCTCCAGGCAAGAATACTGGAGTGGATTGCCATGTTCTCCTCCATGGGATCTTCCCAACTCAGGGCTTGAACCCAGGTTTCCTGCATTGCAAGCAGATTCTTTACCATCTGAGCCACCAGAGAAGCCCATGAAAAAGAAAAATCAGTCCAGCCGTGAAAAAAAAATTATAATAGCACTTAATGAGGAGATGGGACTATTAAACAACCAAGAAAGTGCTTGAGCTTCAATTACTTGTTGGAAATTGCCCAATGGAGACTTAAAATTAGTCTGGGAGAAATATATATATATTTGGAAGCAAATTTTTGAATTATCTAAGGCACTGATAATGGAAGTGAAGAACGTTTGTAAGTGGATATCAGAAAGCTTTTATCAACTGATTTAATGTTTTTGTGTCTGTGATAGGCATCTCCAATGAAAATTATAAACTATCCTTTAGTTCATCCAAATATCAAAGTTCTTTTTAAAGATTCTGGAAAGAATGTCAATGGCAGCTACCTGTTTCTAGCTTCCATATTTAACAATATGACATTCACTTTTGGAATTTATGGATACTATTCTGAATCACTATTTCAAGGCATTTTTACTTAGTATTTATAAGATGTTTTATAATTATATCACCTCTTTTACAGGTCCAAAAGGCAGATTATTAATAAAGAATCTGCCAAGACCTATAAATTATATATCCCCATTTAAAAAAAACAAAAATCTACCTTTAATAGAAAAGGAAACAAAGACTACAAGGTATCGTAAATTATGCATAGAGGTTTACTAGTGGTGAGATATGATCAGTCATCTCTGCTTGCTTTTTATATACTGTATATATTCCAGGACAGAAAAACCAAGATTTTATTAATTTGTTCTCATCATGATTATGTCTCCTTTAATCTTTCAAGGGATTTCTTTGTTTTTATAAAGCAATGGGAAATCCAGAAAACATAGAGGATGCATACGTTGCTGTTATTCGGCCAAAGAATGCTGCCAGTCTCAATTCTCGGGAATACAGAGCTAAGTCATATGAAGTGAGCACAGTTTACTAACATTTGATTTTCTACCACTGAATGTTATCCTCCATTATCATTTTCATTTACATATAAAGTCTTACCATAGCCTGTAAATTCTTATTGATAACCTAGATATTGACAAGCTAGAATTTACGATTGTAGAGTTCTGCCCATCACCATGTCTTTTTCTTTCTGCTGCATGTATTTTGACCATTTTTCTATTCATTGATATGGATAAATTCTTAGATAGTAAAAGTTACTTATTTGAGTTTTGCATATATAATTTATAACAGTTTGGTTTTTACTAGAGTTTATGGAATGGCTTGAAGAAAAAATTGCAAAATTCAGCTTATTCAAAATTCCAGTCTAAATTTTGTTCATGGTTATTTTCCAAAACTCTATTTTTAACAGTTCATTAAAAAATATCTTTACCTTTAATTGCTTTAGGTAATTAAGTTACTTCTCTAAAGTCTTGAATACATTATTAGTATTAGTAAACATGATTGAGACTGAAAAAAAGAAAAGCCCAAAGCAGATTTTATCTTTACCATGCAGCAGATTCAAGCATCATAAAATACTTCTAGTCTAATCTAATTTCAACTAACTTCTCTGCAGGCGTGCATAGCCGCTCAGTCCTGTCCAACGCTTTGTGACCCCATGGGCTGTAGACCCCCAGGCTTCTCTGTCCATGGGATATCCCAGAGAAGAATACTGGATGGGTTTGCCCGTCTCTTTTCCACCCAAGGACTGAGCCTGTATCTCTGAGTATTCTGCTTTAATTGCCTTTGAGGTTAGCTATCTGAAACCTATTAAAGGATATCGCAAGGCTTCTGAGAAGATTGCCCTTCAGCAGTGCTGAGGCTTGCTGCTTCTCAGTCCTGGCTACACTCTCGATCCCCTGGGGAAGTTTAAAACTGCCAGCGCCACAACCTCACTCCCCTCACATTCCCATTTACTAGGTCTGAGATGAAGCTGCACATTGATGCTGTCTTGAAAGGGTTCATGTTATTCTGATGTGCAGCTAGGCTTGAGGTTAAGAAAGATTGCTGGCTATATTTTAGGGCAAGTAAATTTTATTTTAAACATTCTCTTAATGTTGTTTTTCCCATCCAAGATTTTGTTGCATGAAGTTCCCATTGAAGGACAGAAAAAAAAGAGAAAGAAGGTTTTGTTGGAAACTAAACTGCAAGGTAACAGTGAAATAACACAAGGCATATTGGACTATGTAGTAGAAACCACCAAACCAATTTCTCCTGCAAACCAGGGTATCAGAGGTAAGAAACTTTTCTTTTTAACACAATTGGTTTTAAATGCTTGTGAAAGAAGACATTTTAAAAAATGTATTAAAGTCAGTTTCTTTTTATGATCCTTTTCGTTGAAAAACTTGAAAAAGGCTCATAAATTTCTGGGTTTTTTTTTAAGCTGGAAGCAAACTCCCTTCAAGAAGTTCCTTGACTATAATGCTTTTTAAGTTAAAGAATATTTTTTAAATACTTGAATAATTTTAAGTAAAAAAAAAGTTAAAATATTTTTGCAGTTTCTTTTTTCTTAATTGGAGTATAGTTGCTTTACAGTGTTGTGTTAGTTTCTGCTTTACAGCAAAGTAAACTAGCTTCAGTTCCGTTCAGTTCAGTTCCGTCGCTCAGTCAATCCCATTTCGGTCACTTCAGAGCACTGAGTAGAGTTCCCTGTGCTACACAGTTGGTTCTCATTAGTCACCTGTTTTATACACAGTGGTATGTATATATGTCAATCCCAGTGCCTCAATCCATCCCACCCTCCCCTTATTCCCTTGGTATCCATGTTTGTTCTCTATCTCTGTGTCTCTGTTTCTGCTTTGCAAAGAAGCTCATCTATGACACTTGTCTAGATTTTACATATATGACTTAATATATAGTATTTTTCTCTCTCTGACTTCCTTTGCTCTGTGTGGCCATCTCTAGGTCCATCCATATTTCTGCATATGGCACAGTTCTGTTGCTTTTTATGGCTGAGTAATATTCCATTGTATGTATGTACCACATCTTTATTCACTCCTCTGCTGATGGATTTTTAGGTTGCTTCCATGTCTTGGCTATTGTAAATGGTGCTGCATTGAACATTAGGATGCATATATCTTTTTGAATTACGGCTTTCTCCAGATATATGCCCAGGAGTGGGATTGCTAGATCATATGGCAGTTCTAGAGAAATATTTCAGTTGTGTTAATGATTTGTTCAAGAAAGAGAGAAAGCCAAAGTGGCTTGAAAACTAATAAGAAAGCACAAGTTATTTTTGTTAGAAGTATATTTCCCTAGATAAGTATCTTTGAACTATTATTTTTATTTCTCTACTCCAGGACACAGAAAACTATAAACCTCTCTCCATAACTAAGTAACAGTTAAGATTCTGTGTATTAGAGCAAGTCGTATAAACTACCAGGTAGCAGAGGTTTTCTTCCCATTTGGTCACAAGAAGAAAATCATTTTCAAGGAGCCAAACTGAGAACTGTAGAAATATTCACTCTGAAAGGTTCAGGCCCCATTTACAATATTAGATAATCTATAGCTTATGAAACTGATCAAATATCAATGATCAATTTTATCAGGCTGTGCCTCACAAGAAGCAGATAGCAGTTAGAAGTTCTAGAAATTATATATCTCTGTCCAGAATTCAGGCATTATAATTAAAAAGGTAAAGCTAAGTTCAGTCAGACAACTGTTGAACACAGTTGTCGACAGTGAAGTAAAACATAACTCTCTGTGCCTAAATTGTTGGTTTTTACAGCTTATTCAGTTTTTTGTTTGTTTGTTCATCTTTATAGAGGATAGTTATATAATTCATCTCTTTTCACTAAAGAGACTATTTTTGTTGCAGCGATAAGGCTGAATCATGTCATTTGATTTGTTGGTTATTTGGGATACTTGTTCTCTAGAGACAGCTGAAATAAGACTGTTTCATAACTTCCGAAGGTACCATTTACCATATTTTACCTCCCCAACAGGTAGCCTCAATAGGGCCTGAAGAGTTTTGTAGCTCTGACCATTGTAACTGGAGATTATAAGAAGTTCCTGCGCAAACTTACAGCTCTTTGATACACATTCTGAGTCCCACAAAGAGAATCCCCTTTCCCTGATGATCAGGTTGACTTTTAAAATAAAGTGATCTAGAAATGATCTTAGCTGAAAAGGGGGACTATCCCTGTGGGTGGTCAGGCATGTGAAAGGCTCCTTTGGATGCCACAAATTTGTCAGCTTTTTCTACCTGTCTTAGACTTCTCTTAGTAATTTGTATTACTATTACCAAATTATTTTAGTTATCAGGATCTATTCTGAGATCAAATTACTGAGACAAAGTCTGAGCCCAAATCACGTATTTGAGCTGAGATAGACAAGTCATAATTTGCTATGAATTAGCCAAACTCTAACACTTGGTTCATTCACCAAGGAAGGGGATATAAGTGATAGTGTGAACAAAAATGTCCCCTGGCACAGAGGAATGGGTAGTTTTTCTTAGAAGTTACGAGTGGATAGGCACCCTGAAATATGTCTAGCACAATTATGTCTTGTATACTTAGACAGTAGAACGTGCTAATAAATTTTCAGGCAGCTTTTAATAAGAGAAATGAAAACAAAGAAGTTTTTGCTTAACTAAATAGTTAAAATAATGAGCCATACCATACCTGACTATCCTAGTCAATTGAGTTTTTCTAAAAGTGTGAAATATTTTTATAGAGAAGATTTCTTACATAGGCATCACATGAAAATTAGAAATGACTTTATAACTGCAGTAGTTTTGCCTTTTTGTGCAATGCTATATGTAGTTTACAAAGCACTACCACAATTACTTATCCATGAAATTCTTAAATTGATCCTGTGAGTTGGTATATAGTCATTTTCACATCTGTAAAATGGAAATGCAGACATAGGCACCTAGAAAAATCATATTCCCATTTGTGGAAGAGTTAGGACAAGAACTGTATCTCCCAACTTGTAATCAGTGCTTTACTCCTCCCCGGACCCCCACCCCCACCCCCGCCCGAAATAGATCTCACAGTTGCATATAAAATGGGCAAAGTAGTCAGTTTGGATCAGAACTAGGTTTAAGGAAGCTACAAGGCAGGAAAGATTAAGTGGGACAAGACCTCAAACCAGACAAAAGTAATATTACCTCTGAAATTTATTAGAATGTTTTTCTTTTTTTTTTTTAATAAAAATGAATAAATTTATTTTTTAAAAAAAGATATACTGGTCAATCCTGGCCAATTCAATAATGCAACAATCATAACAACAAAAAGCAGAATTGAAAAGGAAGAATTACAANTTTTTAATGGCTGAGTAGTATTCCATGGTGTATATGTACCACAGCTTCCTCATCCATTCGTCTGCTGATGGGCATCTGGGTTGCTTCCATGTCCTGGCTATTATAAACAGTTCTGCGATGAACACTGGGGTGCACATGGCTCTTTCAGATCTGGTTTCCTTGGTGTGTATGCCCAGAAGTGGGATTGCTGGGTCATATGGCAGTTCTATTTCCAGTTTTTAAGAAATCTCCACACTGTTTTCCATAGCGGCTGTACTAGTTTGCATAGAATGTTTTTCTTTATCTAACACTTGTATTTTGTACAAGTGTCAATTTTTTAGAAAATTGTTTAGGGGCTATAATAATAATGGGCCATAATAATCACAAATATTCACTCTAGCATTTTGTGAATGAATGAAGCTGTTTGAATGCTTGTAGTGTCTACTTGTCCACAGATGGCATCCAGCCAGGCATTCCTACCTGGGTCGAGAACAAGGTTCTGTTTCTGGGGGTGGGGAGGTTGGAAGGGTTGATAAAAATCATGACAAAGATAGCCAGAAAGTGAAAGGTTTCAGAGTGAAAAACTTATAGGTTATTATTTATTGCCCCCTTGCTGCCAAATCAGGAACAACAGACTTAAGAATGATGGTTACAATTCAGAACAATAATTTATAGCCCAATCAGATTTTAATAAAGCCTGAAATTGAGGATGGAAGTTGAATATTAAATGAAAAGTTACTAAATTTTAGAACTCTGTAATTTGTATATACTACCCTCCTTGGCCAGCTCAGACTTTACTGCAGTTCTCACCATCTACATCCCAACTGAATGAAGACGTCTGTGCCGCTTCAGCTTGCAGGACGCTCTGCTGTTGAGCTGCGCTGTCAGTCCTTAGTGGGCGGATGTCCTTGTTGTGTGTGGGGAGCTTCTCTCCTAGCAGAGTCAGGGCCAGGGATCTGTTGGTTAATTGCCTACAGAATGATGTACGTTGTTATCAGAATTACCAGTTTTTATTAGTGCATATAATAAAGTTGACTTTTTATATTTCAGTTCCTCTCAATACTGCCTTTAAAATATTTTTTCTAATTCTCAAGGTAATTTATAAGATTTTAAAAGGCCCATTATTTTTATCTTTACTGACTAAAATGATTAGGAAAACGAGTGGTCCTGATGAAGACATTTCCTCTGGATGGGGAGAAGGTGGGCAGAGAAGCAGCGTTATTTATTGTTCCGTCAGTTGTTAAAGGTAAAGCCTTGAGTTTCATCTTGTGAATCTTGGTGTACCTTAGGTGCTAAGCTAAAGTCTATGGAGGAACTTAGGAATTTGGAGTCATAGTTACTCTTGGAATACTATTGTAAAAATCATGTTTTTAATATAATGGAAGATGGAGAAATTTGTTACTTAACAATGTTTTGATTCCCAAGTAATATTCAGGCTTCTGGACTAATAGTAAAGTTTTTGTTTCTGTTTTTAAAAGTAGAATAAAGAAGTGAGGAAGGAAGCTATAATAAAAACAAAAAGTTTTCAGGTTATAATGAGGGATTTTTCAGACTTTGCTATATAAATAGAAATAAAAAATGTATGTATTTTGGAAAATTAACAGATTATGATTAGGACCTATCTTGTATTTGGGATAAGAAAGTGTCAGTAATAGTTTTAAAATACTCCACCCAACAATAATGGTAATATTTAAAGAACTTAGGTCTAATGTGAAAATTTAATTTGAGCTTTGACAAGGAATTTATCCTATTATCCTGGAACAATAGAAAAAATATTGAGCTTCATCAGACCTGCAGTCTACTAATTTTCTGTTATGGGCAAACCACTTATTTAAGCCTCACCTCTTTATCTGTAAGATAGGTATCTGCTCCTGCTTGATTCATTGTGCTGGAAGAATCCAATGAGGTATTAGATGTAAAAATCGCTTTGGAACCTGTAGCGTACTGGCCTCATGGAAGGTAGTCATCATACTGATGATATATCAATGGCCCAGTGTGGACATCTCATCAGACTGCTGCTGCACAGTACTTAACATATATTTTATTAGCCAGCTCTGCCATTCCAGATTTCTTTTTCCCAGCCACACTTAGGTTAAATACTTCACCATTTTACATAATATTGGAAATCTTATTATTAATCAGAATTTTACAACATTGTTGAGCAAGAAAGAGGAAACAATTTCTGTAATCCTACAAGATTCTAAATCCTGCATTCACCCAACTGGACAAGGTCACAGAGCTGGCCAGCCCTTGAATCCAAGTCTTCTAATTACAAGTCTAGAACAACTTATACTTATCAATTTTTTAAAACATACTGTATACGTTTAAATAAAAAACACGCAGTTGTAAGCCTTTTATATGATGGCATAAATCTTCATTTTTCTTTTTCAGATAATACTAAATATACTTATACTCCAGGATGCCCAATTTTTTACTGCTTACAAGATATTATGCGAGTCTGTAGTGAATCCAGCAGTCACTTTGCTACACTTACAGCAAGAATGTTAATAGCCTTGGATAAGTAAGAACCGCCATTAAAAATATTTTTAATAAATCAAGTACATATTCATAATAGAACTTAGCTTTGTGAGATAGATATACTTTATGGATGAAAATAATAAAATTTATAATATATATATTACGAAATGGTAAGTTTTTGAAGTATAATATAAAAATTTTAAACACCAAAGATAAGATTGTCCCGATTTGTTTGCAACATGTTACTTTTATTCTTTGAAAGTGACAAAGATTGCCCTGGCTTAATTCTTAAGATTCCTTTGTTATAAAACAAGATTTATTACTGACTTACCCTTATTAGTGAACAAGTCATTTAACCTGTCATGCCTTTGTCCTGTAACAGCAGGTCTAATGTCACCTATATCTCAATGGTTTAAATTTTAAAGTGCTTCATGTTTTTTAAATGGTTTTAGTGTTATATACATTTTTTTGTTATATGCATTTTTAAAAAGTAGTTTGCTATGTCCAGTAATAAAACTTTTATTTACAGTAAGTGAAATACTTAACTAACACTAATTAAAATTATAAAAATCTGAATGTAGTATTAGAAAGAGTTAGTTAATAGTTTACTTTTTTCATCTTCACTTTAGAACAAATACTTCTACTGCCTCTTCTTTCTATTTTGCCAGGTGGCTAGATGAACGTCACACACAGTCTCACTTTATTCCAGCCTTATTCCGACCTTCTCCTCTTGAGCGGATAAAAACTAACGTTATAAACCCTGCATATGCTACTGAATCAGGTCAGGCAGAAAACTCACTACATATGGGCTACAGTGCACTAGAAATAAAGAGTAAAATGTTAGCCCTAGAGAAAGCAGATACCTGTATTTACAACCCTTTGTTTGGATCAGATCTTCAGTATACAAACCGGGTAAGAATTTTGGCTCTTATTTCAAAAGATATTTGATTTCAAAATATAATTTATTTTTCCTGAGACAAATGCATATATTAGTAATTGTAAACACTGAGATGACATCCTCACTTAGCTCTGCTTTTATACATTAAGGTCATAAAGCTCTTAAACAGTTTTTGTTCTATTTTCCCTTTCTAGGTAGATAAAGTGGTAATAAATCCATACTTTGGTCTCGGAGCTCCGGACTACTCGAAAATCCAAATTCCTAAACAGGAAAAATGGCAGAGGAGCATGAGCAGTGTCACCGAAGACAAGTACTGCTCTGGTTTTACTCCACTTTGCTTTTTTAAAAGCCTATATTCTAATGTTAAAAAATTATTTTAAATGATATATGCAAATAGTATGCAATGTAATCATCATGTAAATGATTTAGTTTACAGCTGTTCGGTGATGTGTAGCTTTCATAGATGTGTCATATTTGTTTCAAAACACTTTGAATTTCAACAGTGCTGTTTTTGTTTGTTTTTCATGATTAGGGAACGACAGTGGGTAGATGATTTTCCTCTCCATCGAAGTGCCTGTGAAGGAGATTCGGAATTATTAAACCGACTTCTCAATGAAAGATTTTCAGTCAACCAATTAGATAGTGACCACTGGGCACCCATTCATTATGCATGCTGGTAAATAGATTACTTACTCTTTTCTTTTTAGAAAGAATGAATCTTTAGTTATTAATGTTAGTGTTTCTTTTCAAAGCTGTTCTCATTCCAGCCACTTTTCCCTCCACCATGTTTGTTTGCCTTCTGAGCTTTCTCTGTAGGAATCGTTTATTACTGTGCGTGTGCCACAGCATCTGCCCCATTTGAAAAGTATCATTAATGTTCTCAGGCATTTCTTAGGTCATGAGGTAGGATAGCTAATGGCTAACAAGTGCCACTGCACAGCACTTGGTCCCTTGTTGACCCTTGCAGTTTCTGTTGTTTTGCACTGGAGTTGTATTATGTTTGCTTATCCTTACTATAAAATTTACATGTGTTAGCTACGTATGACTTGACCTTGCATCATGTTAGAAAAGTGTTCTTTTAGTTCTTTGGAAAGCTGTGGTATCTGGAAACATCCATAAGTTTTCTTTATAAGCTGTGGTATCTGGAAATACCCATAAGTTTTCATTAGAATTAAATCCTGTTTTTGTTTTTTTGAGAAGGATTAGCTCTCAGGAGTGAGGTTAGCTGTCTCCACTAGTTGCCTGTGGAGTGCTTGCTCTTGTACTCTTCTCACATAATCATAACTCTTCCCCTCAGCCTGGACTGGGTTCTTAAATTATGTTCATAGCAGTAGTTAACCATTTGCTATAGCCTGTCCTCTAGAAAGGATGTAATGAAGTTATTTACCCTTATATATATTTTTAATTTATTTAAATTGGAGGCTAGTTACTTTACAATATTGTGGTGGTTCTTGCCAGACATTGACATGAATCAGCCACGGGTGCACATGTGTCCCCTGTCCCGAACCCCCTTCCACCTCCCTCCCACCCCATCCCTCTGGGTCGTCCCAGTGCGTCAGCTTTGAGTGCCCTGTTTCATGCGTTGAACTTGGACTGGTCATCTATTTCACATATGGTAATATACATGTTTCTATATCTGTGTCTCTTTTGCTGTCTTGCATATAGGGTTGTCATTATCATCTTTCTAAATTCCAAATATATGCATTAATATACTGTATTGATGTTTTTCTTTCTGACTCACTTCACTCTGTATAATAGGCTCCAGTTTCATCCACCTCATAGAACTGACTCAAATGCATTCTTTTTAATAGCTGAGTAATATTCCATTATGTACATGTACCACAACTTTCTTATCCATTCATCTGCCAATGGACATCTAGGTTGCTTCCATGTCCTAGCTAATTATAAACAGTGCTGTGATGAACATTGGGGTACATGTGTCTCTTTCAAGTCTGGTTTCCTCGGTGTGTATTCCCAGGAGTGGGATTGCTGGGTCTTATGGCAGTTCTGTTTCCAGTTTTTTAAGGAATCTCCACACTGTTCTCCATAGTGGCTGCACTAGTTTGCATTCCCACCAACAGTGTAAGAGGGTTCCCTTTCCTCCACACCCTCTCCAGTATTTGTTTGTAGACTTTTTGATAGCAGCCATGCTGAGCAGTGTAAGATGGTTCCTCATTGTGGTTCTGATTTGCATTTCTCTGATAATGAGTGATATTGAGCATCTTTTCATGCGTTTGTTAGCCATCTGTATGTCTTCTTTGGAGAAATGTCTGTTTAGTTCTTTGGCACATTTTTTGACTGGGTCGTTTATTTTTCTGGTGTTGAGTTGCATGAGCTGCTTGTATATTTTTGAGATTAATTCTTTGTCAGTTGTTTCATTTGCTATTATTTTCTCCCATTCTGAAGGCTGTCTTTTCACCTTGCCTATAGTTTCCTTCATTGTGCAAAAGCTTTTAAGTTTATTAGGTCCCATTTGTTAATTTTTGCTTTTATTTCCATTACTCTGGGAGGTGGATCATAGAGGATCTTGCTGTGATTTATGTCAGAGAGTGTTCTGCCTGTTTTCCTCTAGTTTTATCTTATATTTTATGGAAAAGTTGCTTCTGACTTACTGTTTAAAATGAGCTTCTCTGGCTAGTTTGAGAAGTGTCTACATTGTTTATTGCCTGTTAAAGTCCACAGCTTTTTAGCCGCATGTCATTGATCAAGTTACTTTACTTCACCTCTCTGCATCTTAGTTTATTTATCTATATGTAAAATACAATAATTAGATCATTTTCAACTGAAAGTCTTTTGATTTCTCTGATTTCAATATTTTTGATTAAGTAGCTAAATATAGTTGCTTTTAATATATATCTTTTCTCTATTGACAATATGTTGTTTCCTTAAAAATATCCTTTATGCTCAATTTTTTTCTGCTTCCTTAAAAATATATTGTTTTATTCTACAAATGTAACCTTAATTGTTTTTCCGTTATAGGGATTTTTATACTCAGATTTGAAAAGAGTTACCCTAAATCTTCTTTCACTGAACCTATAATTGTTTCTTTAGATTACTGGTAAATACGGGTAGCAGCAACAGTACCAGAAGAAATCACATGCTTTTCCTTGAGCCAAACAAAAAGAAGTAGAGAATATAGTTCAAACATCATGAATTGAGAAAGACAGAGCCAGTGAATTTTAGCTTAGGAATCCCAAAATTACATTTGCCTGTATTGTTGCCCTTTCTGTGGCAGGGCCTCATTTCCTTCTCTGTTAAGACAGTGGTAATATTTTCAACTATGTATTACATAAAAACAGAAGTATGGTATCGTATTTAATGTGCTTTGGAATGTACCTACATTTCAGTCCCTACTGAATATTTTAGTTCCTAAAAGTATGGCCTTTAGCAAATTAGTTAATGTCTCTAAGGATCTATTTCTTTATCTAAAAGATGAGCTTGATTTTAGTGCTTTTTTTAAGATTAGAGGAAAAAATGTGAATAAATGTTTGGAAGGATACCTGGCAGTAATAAGCACTCAAAAAAAAAAAAAAAACGGCTGTTATTAAAGTATTAAAAAAATTTAAAGATTTTGATGTCTGAATATAAAATTCATTCATCTGTTGTATTTTTATTTGGATATTACTCCAATACACTGAAGAAGAGTTTTATCCTTCAATAAAATCAAATTTCCATCAGCTGGAAATAATAACCAAGTTTAATACACCAATAGTAGTAGTAATATGGGTCACCTTGCAATACTTTTAATAAGATATATCATTTGACTTGTGTGAACTTGAATGAAGACTGATTAAACTATTTAGTAAAGAACATAAATTACTTTATCTTAGAAATGTACTCCTACTTAGTAATTAATACTAGGATTAGAAGGGGAATACTGGGCTGTCTCATCAAGAGACTGGGATGGGGGGGGTCTGTCTTTATACGCTTAGACAAGATGTTTTATCGTCTTATTGTCTTCTCATCTTTAAACTGAGGGATTTTATTAGATGAGTGGTTCTCAAACTTTTGTGTTAAAACTCCTTTTATTCTTCAAAATTACAAGATCCCAAAGAGCTTTGGTTTATGTGAAGTAATACCTAGTGTTATATACTTTATTAGAAGTTAAAACTGAAAAATGTCTTAAGAATTTGATTATTTTAAAATAGCATGTTAATATAAATAGCAGAGTTTTCCAAATATATCTTATTTTCCAAAATAAAAAAGTTAATAAGAAAAGTAGCATTATTTTACATTCTTGCATTGTTTTACTGTCCAACCTTGGAGAAAATAGTTGGATTCTCACGTCTGATCCTGCCTTTAATTTGTTGGAATTTGCATGTCAGGGAGCTTCTAGAAAACTCCACTGTACACTTACAAGAAAATCATAGTGAAAAGGGTGAATAAGATCTTAGTATTACTGTGAAATATGTTTTACCTAGAGGACACGTTGAAAAACTTTCAGTGATCTTTCTGGTTTCTTCGTTCAGTCTTTGAGGATCACTTAATTAAATCACCCCTAGGATTGCTCCAAGCTTTAGAAATTATTATACTGATGATAGGTGCCTAAAAACTTTTCTTTAGCAGAATCACCATTCCCAAAACTATTTAATTTGACTTTCTCCCCATATGGGTAACCTCTCAGCCAGTCAGTAAATGTCTCACTGACATCTCATATTTTCTCACCTCTCTCAAATCAGTGTCTTCTCTCTCTGATAGGACTTCCAGGCTCCACATTATTGCTAGAGAGTGTTTCAGAACTCTGATGATTTGACTCCCTACAAATCACTCCATCCGATTTCATTTGGGCCTTCACTGCAGCAAGCTGTGTATTGTCTTTGTCTCATTCATCCTGTCAAGCTTTTGGTTCCCTATTCTAAATCTGGGAACTTCCCTGGTGGCTCAGACGGGTAAAGAATCTGCCTGCATTGCGGGAGACCTGGTTCAGTCCCTGGGTCGGGAAGATCTGCTGGAGAAGGGAATGGCAACCTACTCCAGACCGAGGACTCTGGTGAGCTACAGCCCATGGGGTCACAAAGAGTCTCTGCACTTTCTGCTTTTCTGTACTTTCTTTTCTCTTGTCTTCAAACATACATGAATCCTATCCCTACTTGAAAAAGAACCTTAATTTGAACCTGCTCCCTCTTCTGGCCACTGTCCTGTTTCTTTCCTTCCTTCCACAGCCAGACTTCAATGATAACGGGGCCATACTCACTGCTTTCTCTTTTTCAGTCTTCATGAACCTTCTTAACCTTTGCTGAGTTTTTAATCTCTTTCACTGCTCTGCTGCATTTAATACTGGTGACCACCCCTTTGTTTGCAGAACAAATGGCAGGTGAAAGGGCAGCTATAGAAAGAAAGAAAGTGAAGTCGCTCAGTCGTGTCCGACTCTTTGCGACCGCATGGACTGTAGCCTACCAGGCTTCTCTGTCCATGGGATTTTCCAGGCAAGGGTACTGGAGTGGGTTGCTATTTCCTTCTGCAGGGGATCTTCCCGAGCCAGGAATTGAACCTGGGTTTCCTGCATTGCAGGCAGGCGCTTTACCCTCTGAGCCACCAGGGATAATACAAATGCAAGATAATTGTTATTATTATTATTGAAATGCTAGTTTTCATCCTGTGACCCAAGCATGTTTTAAATAGTATGGAAACTGTTACACTAAAATTCAGAAAATTGGATTTTAACTGGTTAACCATGAGACCTTGGGCAAGTTACTTAACTGGTACAAGCTTCATTTTTTTCATCTGTTTGTTAGAAATATGTCTGCCTGCCTCATAAGTTGTTGTGAAGATTATATTAAGTAATTATATAAGGAAGTACCTTTAAAACTTTTTAATCTTACACAGTGTTTTTTTATTTTAATTATTTTTGTTATTACTTCTTGAATTCTCCCCCTCACTATCTTTTCCTGTCCTGAAAGTATGTTTTTCAAGATGCATTTCATTGTTCTAAGGTATTCATCTTTCTCTCAGAAAGATTTCATCCATTCCCCCAGCTTTAACAGGCTAATTCTGATACCTCAAGCCTTTGCCTTCCTCCTGAATATCAAGTCTGTGTTTTCAGTTACCAGCTGAACGGTTTAGTCACCCATTTTCTTAATGCATGAGACAGTATGCAAAGATATAACTTTCAAGGAATATCCAGGCTGACAGAAATGTATGTATACAAGGATGAAAGTAAATAATGAGATTAAAAAAGTAAACGTAAAATGGTAAATTATAGTGGGAATATATAGGAGGTAGCTGGTAATCTGTTTCAGAGAAATAACAGAACTTAACCTGAAATAAAATCAGGAGAAGGAAAAAAAGACATCTCAAGAATAGCTAAGAACATAAGCAAACAGTCACATGAATGAGAAGGGTAGGATACAAGTGGCAGGTTTGGAGCATAGAAAAGCCAGAGCATATGTGAAAGGGAAGAAAGTTGACAGTAAATTGGCTTAGTTCTAAAGATGTGCTGTTTGCCCCTCAAATGCAGCATATCTAAGAGCAAATTTCCTTTCCCTTTTTACTCATTTATTTCCAAAAAAAATGAATTGCCTTTCCACCATTGCATTAGATTGCAGCCTTATATAAGTCTTTGTAACCAGATGGTAAATTCACTATGTCTGGCACATTCTTTGTACTCTTTGCTTACTTTTTTTTTTTCCCACTACCTAGACTATTTTACTTCAGCATCTCTTCAGCTTTCAAATTGTTCTTCTATCAGAATACTTTTCAGGACTCTCTTAGGCTGAAATCTTATCTTCCTTTTCCAACATTTTCTAAAGCATCATTATATACTATTATGATTTGACAAATATATATATTCTGATTGTTACTCTTAACTGTTACTTAAATTTTACAGCATGATGTAACTTATCTCACATGTTTGTTTTCCTCTGATTACATTAGAAGCCTTTGCCAGAGCAGACACCATTTATCTTAACATATCTTTGTGTCTTTCACATTGCCTCCTTCAACAGCTACATGTAAATTAGGTCTTGGGCCTATTGTAAATTAAAGAAAAGCATTGTTAATTTTATGAGTTACTTTCTGCTCCTGAAAATATTTTTGACTAAAAATTTTATCTCCCTAATTTATAATTTTTGTATTATATTTTGTATGATTGTAATTCTGTATCCTCTGCTCTATCTTGTATTTGAGATTATATTTTCTCCCAGTTGATCAGAAATAGAAACATTTGAATTAAATCAGAGTACTTCATAAGAAATCTGTAAGCACTGAAAACATTTACATAAATGTCTTCATTCCTTGTTCTCTGCCATAGAAAAATCTTAAATTTCTTTGAGATGTCTGAAATTTGGATTTTTCAAACACTTCATATGACTTTTGTAGGTGTTTTATTTTTTTGTAGGTATGGAAAAGTTGAAGCCACTCGCATATTGTTAGAGAAAGGAAAGTGCAATCCAAACCTTTTAAATGGACAACTTAGTTCTCCTCTTCATTTTGCTGCTGGAGGAGGACATGCTGAAATAGTACAGATCCTCCTAAACCATCCAGAAATTGACAGAGTAAGTTATTTCCCAGGCTTTTTTTTTTTTTAACGTCCAAACAGTAAATAACTAGTAATGACACTTAAAATGTTTAGTTGTACACTTGAGAGGTCAGCTGAGAAATGAAAACAAATTTAACTTGCTATGTAGAATAATATGTATACACTTTGCATTTAAATTGTAATAGAATACACTTCACATAAAATTTATCATTTTCACCATTTTTAGATGTACAGATCAGTGGCATTAAGTACATTTACATTGTTTTACAACCATTACCACCATGCATCTCCCAAGTGTACATAAAATTTGGCTTCCTTTCATTTTATATAAAGTGTCTCCTGTATTGCAGGGAGATTCTTTACCAACTGAGCTATTAGGGAAGTCATTATATAAAGTGTATTTTCTAAAAAATATCTTAAGGTAAAAGATATTTTGGAATTTTTACTAACAAATTTGTAAAGGGAAAAATAATAGCTTTAACAAGACCTTTGTTGTTGCTGTAAACAGAATTTTTGAAAAACAGTAGCCACAGTGATTACTGCTTTGAATCTTTTATCTTTGGCTGTTCATGTTTACTTGAAGTATAGCATGCAATAAGTATGCTTAATATGTACTTAACATTTGCCGATAGTCTTTTTGATGAAATTTTGATTGACTGATATTTTCCCTTACTTGTATTTTGTAATGCCTTTTTTCTTTAACCTGTGGTTCTTCCCTCACATTCCTAGCACATAACAGACCAACAGGGAAGATCTCCTTTAAATATTTGTGAAGAAAACAAACAAAATAATTGGGAAGAAGCTGCGAAGTTGTTGAAGGAAGCCATTAACAAACCAGTAAGAATTAACTTCATAAATATTAGTTAGAGCCAAACATCGTATTTAAGTTGATAAGTAATTTGAGGATCTGAGGTAAGAATGGAAGGATGAATGTATGGATGGCTTCTCTACTGCTTTTATAAAACCTCATGTTTAGACATCATAGATATTAAATTTGCTATCATCTCTAACATTTGAGCATTTATTCTTGCATATCAAAATAAAAGTTTGCATAAATAAATCTTTCAATCACTTAAAATTAATCTAATTCCCAATGTAATCTCTATATATGCTGATTACAAATTGTAACCTGTCCATTGAAGCATCTCTCTCTACTTAGGCCTTCTAAGTGAAGTGAAAGTGTTCATCGTTTAGTCATGTCCGACTCTTTGCAACCCCATGGACGGTAGCGTGTCAGGCTCTCCTCTGTCCATGGAATCCCCAGACAAGAATACTGGAATGCGTAGCCACCCTTTCTTCAGGGCATCTCCCCACCCAGTGATCGAGCCCAGCTCTCCTGCACTGCTGTCTTTACCGTCTGAGCCGCCCGGGAAGCCCCTAGGCCGTCTGAGCAATACGTTATACTTGTAGGTGATCATATTATACATCGTTCAGTGATTTAATTACTACCTAGTTCAGATTCATTTTCCTCCTTAAGATTAGTGACTGGGTTAAAATAAAAGAGTTCCTAGCCTTTTATTTTGCCCATTCAGCTTGGCCTTTCCATCTACTTACGTACAAAATAATTAGCAGTGGCATTAAGATAGACAAGAATTAACAATTAGAAAAAACTCTGTCATGCCTCGAAGTTATAGTGACAGTAAACTGTTTTCTAAAGTGACAGTAAACTGAAAACTTGCAAACCAGATAAAAGAATTTATACCAACTAATAAAGGATAAAAGTTTTATACCAACAGGCTATAACCCATATATCCGAACCTTTCCAGACATTTCCATTAACTAGATAATATGTACTTGTTGAGTATTTCTGTAAATTTACCACCATGAAACGCTGAAAGTGATCTGATAAATAATAAATACATGATCTCTGTCTTAAAGGGAAATTTCACACATTCATACACGTTTTGTCAAAACATTATTCCCTGAGCACAGGACAAAAGCAAGGAAATAGATAAGCAGTACAGTCACCCTTATATTAACTTCATTGCAATTTACTTTCTAATTGTATAGTTAAAAAGACACTTTTATTTCTCATATAATCTTTAAATCTGGATGTATAAGATAAAAGGAATTAGGTACTTTTACCTAAAATGAACTGTCCTGGAAGTTGTTTAGAGGCATCAGTTACTTCCTATAACAATAAAAATGAATTGATAATATCATTTCTCTCTGTGATTTTCTGAACTGGAAGGAAGAAACTGGCTCAAGGTCCATTGTTCATAACTTTTATCTGCAAAATCCTTTATCACAGATTCCTCTTGGGACAAATTATTGCTGGTACACATTTCTACATTGTAATTTGTGGCCCACTAAACTCATGAGGTAGTTAACTAACACCAGATTTAGTTTAACCAAGTCTATATCCCCCATTTGGTATTTACATTGTATGTTAATAGCTTTAAAGTATTCTCTCAGAAGATTCTGAAGTTGAATATTTTTTAAAAAACCATTTGCCTTCATTTCTCAAACTTATTTGACCATGGAATATTCAGAGGAAAACATGTTTAAAAATACAAATAATGGAAGTAAATTTTTAAAAAATATTGCCGGAAGTGGTTAGGACTGTAAGCTTCCAGTGCAGGGGGCACAGGTTTGATCCCTTATTGGGCCACAAAGATTGCAAGCTGTGCAGCAAGGCAAAAAGGGAAAAAATAAAATATTGCCAGAAGATTCTCACTTAAAGTAGTTTTTCTGATATTTTCCATATTAGAAATCTATAATAAAGCAGATGAGGTTGAAATTAAAGCATTTTTGGGGGTTGGGATGTATAATTTCTACCCAGTTTGCATAATTTATTATCGTTCTTTGTCCTAGTATGAAAAAGTTCGGATATACAGGATGGATGGATCATACCGTTCTGTTGAACTGAAGCATGGAAATAATACCACAGTGCAGCAGATAATGGAAGGAATGCGTCTCTCTCAAGAAACACAGCAATATTTCACTATTTGGATCTGTTCAGAAAACCTCAGTAAGAAACTTGTTATTCTGATGTATAAACCCCATTATTCCTTTTTGAGAGTGAGTTGGTAAACTGAAGTACAGCATCAATTATTATTGACTTTTAAATTTTCAAATGATATAATATTCTTTTCTTTTACATAAATTATGTTCAGACTGCTGAAACAGGTAAGCCTCTGCTTGCGCCTGGCCCCTTTTTATTCATACAATGTCGGGGGTTTTTGGCTAATTCCATTTACGTATGTATTCTTGGCTGTGCTGTTCCTCGTTGCTGCGTGGACTGTTTCCTAGCTGTGACAAGTGGGGCCTGCCCTCTAGCTGCGGTGTGAGGGCCTCTCACGGCAGCACAGCGCTGGAACAGCGGCTGCCGTTGTTGCGGAGCACAGGTCCCAGGGCGTGTGGGCTCACTGGTGCCGTGTGGGCTCTGGGGCGCAGGCCGGCACACGGGCCTAGCTTCTCCACAGCATCTGGGGTGAGCCCAGATCGGCCACCAAACCTGTGTCCCCTGCATTGGCGAATGGACTCGGTACTACTGAGTCACCAGGGAAGCGCCATACGATATTGGAAGTGGTAAAAACCAAAACATTTTTTCTTTGGCAATGAAATTTGATTTGAATGCTGTTTAAATGCAGTTTAAATTTTATTTGAATGCTATTTAAATGCATCCAACTTGCCTTTATTTTCAGTGCTCACCTCCTCTCAAAATAATACAGATATTCTTTTTCTTTATATTGGTTTTCTATCAGATCTTTTTAGTTCAGTTCAGTTCAGTTCAGTCGCTCAATCATGTCCGACTCTTTTTATTTAAACTCAGCTTAATGTCACTACAGATTTGGTCTCTCAGACAAAGTATTGCAGATACATAAGGGATTTCATCAAGGTGGGTGTGATTTGTTTTCTAGTGATTTAACTATTTTTTTAAACACCAAATTTTTACTGATTTTATCATAATTAGGCTATCGTGGAATTAAGGATCTTAAATTCATTTGATAAATTTTAATTCATTTCCAGAATTATTCTCATAATTCTTAAATTCTTAAAAAACAGTCAACCTCAAATTGGGCATAATATTGATTACAATCAATACTGATTTAAATTTAGACCTTTAATTTGTGTGTGTTCAATACTTAGGTACAGAATTTAATGAAAAGTTTCTATGTGTTGGTGTAATTAGTTCATTTTTACATTATCATTTATTAAGGGAAAGATGTTTTTCAGGCCTTCAACTCAAGCCTTATCATAAACCATTGCAACATGTTCGTGACTGGCCAGAAATACTTGCTGAATTGACTAATTTGGATCCCCAAAGGGAAACACCACAGCTTTTCCTAAGAAGAGATGTGAGACTTCCTTTGGAAGTTGAGAAAAAGGTTTGCCCAGAAATCTTTTCTATAGTCATTTAGATGTTCAGTCTGCTGGGTTCCTGTTTTAAGCACTAGAGGCAAACACTGTGCTCTTCCTTTACAGGAGGGTTCATTGCTGTTTTTCTCTTCAATCCTCAGTCCCTATTTGTAAGTGATAGAGAGTTTGAGTCAGTCCACTTACAAAGCCCCTGTTGGTTTTTCCATTTCCACCTCCACTGTCTTAGAATACAAAAGAAATAGAGACTCCATCCTAAAGAGAATAGAGAGAACTAAAAAAAAACATTCTGGATAGAGAAGATTATATTTACAAAGGGGACATTAAAGTTATTCCCAGTAGTCGGTATGTAGCTATTCTTTTAGATTCAACAGAGAACTATACATGTATAGTTCTATACATATATACATATATAAACTATACATATATATGTATATATATAAACTATATAAATATATAAACATATATAAACTATACATATATACATATATAAAAAAATGAGAATGGAATTTACATGATTAAATAAGTATGTCTGGATTTGAATTACTGTAAATGTTAGAAGTGAAATAATGCCATCTGAAGGATGACCAGACAAGGAAAAAACCTAAGGGATATATTACAAGTTAAACTAGGTAATAGTCTAAATACAGCAATAGCTTTGAAAACTGGGGAAAAGAAAAGTTCTAAGGTCTCATAAATTTGGTGAAGAAAAAGTATACAATGCATTTCCTCATTCTTTTATTCAAGGAAATACTAAACACATAAGGTTAAGCACATTTCAACACGTGAAAATTTCAGTGACCTTGTCCAAACTTGGTAAATGTTTTATGTCTGACTATTCATATTGTCCATCTTATATTACCCAACCTAAGGTAGAAAAGACATTTGACAAAATCCAATGGCCTTTCTTGCTAGAACTCCCAGAAAACTAGGAGGGGAGCTTCCTCAATCCAGTAAATGGCATTTATAAAAAAACCAGCAGTTAACATACTCAATGGTGAAAGACTGAAAACTTTCCTCCTAAGATTAAGATCAGAAACAAGACAAGGATGCCTGCTTTCACCACTGCTGTTTAACACAGAACAAGAAGTTCTAAGCAAAGCAATTGGTCACACTCTCCCCAGCAGCACCCCTAAAAGTAAAGCAAGGGGGGGAAAAGGGCATCCAAATTGAAAAGGAAAAAGTTAAGCTATCTCTGTTGATCAAAAATGACATGATCCTATATATAGGGAATTCCAAAGAATCTACACAAAAGCTACTAAAGCTAATAAATGGATTCAGCAGAGTTGTAGGGTACATGCTCAACACGTGAAAATCAATTGTTTCTATAACCAGCCACAGACACTAAAAAAAAAAAGGAAATTAAGAAATCCTTTAGAATAACTTGTATAAGGATAAAATACCTAGGAATAAATTTAATAAAAGAGACGCAAGACTTATACATTGAAAGCTACAAGAATAAAGTGAAGGGATTCACATTTCCCAATTTCTTAGTACAAAGCTACAGTAATCCAAACGATTTGGTACTGGTATAAGGATAGAATTGAGAATGGAATTGAGAGTCCTCAAGTAGCTCCTTATACCATACCAACTACTTTTTTGACAAGGATGCCAAGTGAATTCAATGAAGAAAGAGTAGTTTCTTCAACACATGATGCTAGGGCAACTGGAAATTCACATGCAAAAGTGTCAAATTGGACTCTGATCTCACACCACATCAAAAATTAACTCAATGTCTCAATAACCTAAATATAAAAGCCAAAATCATAAAATTCTTAGGACAAAATATATGTGTACTCTTTATGACTTTAGATTTGGTCATGGAGCTTTAGATATGACACCAAAAACATGAGTAACAAAAGAAAAAATTGATAAATTGGACTTCATCAAAATTAAAAGCATTTGTAAATCAAAGGACATTATCATTAAAGAGAAAAGACAAGCTGTATAATAAAAGAAGATACTTGCAAATCATATATATGATAAGTGTTTCAGTTTAGTTCAGTTCAGTCACTCAGTCATGTCCAACTCTGCAACCCCATGGACTGCAGCCAGGCCTCCCTGTCCATGACCAACTCTCAGAGTATACTCAAACTCATGTCCATAGTGTCAGTGATGCCATCCCACCGTCTCATCCTCTGTCATCCCCTTCTCCCACCTTCAATCTTTCCCAGCATCAGGGTGGCCAAAGTATTGGAGTTTCAGCTTCAGCATCAGTCCTTCCAATGAATATTCAGGACTGATTTCCTTTAGGATGGACTGGTTGGATCTCCTTGCAGTCCAAGGGACTCTCAAGACTTGTCTTCTCCAACACCACAGTTCAGAAGCATCCATTCTTCGGCACTCAGCTTTCTTTGTAGTCCCAACTCTCACTTCCATACATGACTACTGGAGAAACCATAGCTTTGGCTAGATGGACCTTTGTTGGTAAAGTAATATCTGCTTTTTAATATGCTGTCTAGGTTGGTCATAGCTTTTCTTCCAAGAACAAGTGTCTTAATTTCATGGCTGCAGTCACCATCTGCAGTGATTTTGGAGCCCAAAAAAATAGAAAGTCTCTCACTGTTTCCATTGTTTCGCCAACTATTAGACATGAAATGATGGGACTGGATGCCATGATCTTAGTTTCCTGAATGTTTAGTGTTTACTATTAAGAAGATAAAAGGAACTCCTGCAACTCAGCAACAAAAAGACAACTCAATTAAATTGGGTAAAGGACTTAACATTTCTGCAGTAAAGATACACAGGTGGCTAACAAGCACATGAAATGTTCAAGATCATAAGGCGTTAAGGAAATGCAAATCAAAACACAATAAGAATCCACACCTACCAGGATGGCTGTAATAACAAAAATTTATAAAGGAAGATATTGAGGGTTGAGGAAATAGAGAAAATAGAACCTTTGTATGCTGTAGATAGTAGTATAAAATGGTGTGGCCTCTGTGGAAAATAGTTGAATAGTTCTTAAAAACACTAAACATAGAATTACTATTTGATCTAGCAATTCCACTCCTAGGTGCATACCTAAAGAAAACAAGAGCTCAAATATTTGTATTCCAACATTCTTATCAGGAATATTTATAATAACTAAAAAGGTGGACACAAGCTAAGTGTTCATCAACAGATCAATGGATAAAGAAAGTGTAGTATATACATACAATGGATTCTTACTCATCCATAAAAAGGAATGAAGTTCTGTTACATGTCATAACATGGATGGACCTTGAAATTATGTTAGGTGAAATAAGCCAGACACAGAAGGAAAAACAGTGTTTGATTTTACTTACATTAAATAAATATCTGCTGCTGCTGCTAAGTCGCTTCAGTCGTGTCTGACTCTGTGCGACCCCACAGACGGCAGCTTACCAGGCTCTGCCATCCTTGGGATTCTCCAGGCAAGATCACTGGAGTGGGTTGCCATTTCCTTCTCCAATGCATGAAAGTGAAGTCGCTCAGTTGTGTCCAACTCTTCGCGACCCCATGGACTGCAGCCTACCAGGCTTCTCCATCCATGGGATTTTCCAGGCAACAGTACTGGAGTGGGTCGCCATTGCCTTCTCCAAATAAATATCTAGAATAGGCAAATTCATAAACAGAAAGCATGTTAGAGATTACCACAGGTGTGATGCAAAGAGAATGAAGACTTACTTATTACACAGTTTCTGTTTGGATGTTGAAATGTGAAAATAGTGGTGATGGTCCACAGCATTATGAATGTAATTAATGCCACTAAATTCTACACTTAAAACATAGGTAAAGTGGCAACTTTTGTTAAACAAAATGTGATAGATCTATGAAATCGGCAAGTAATCTAAGCATACTCAGCCTGTCTTCCTTCTCCACTTAAATAATATCTTCAAAGTTGGCTGGTAGAGAAAGAGTAATAATAATGATAGTACTTGGACATTAAATTAATTTCATCTTATACTACAACTTAGGTAAAGTAGGTTCAAGTGAAAAAGAAGCAAGGTTTAGGAGTACTTACAGTGAATCAGAGTGAATCAGACTATCATCATCTGATAAAGTGGTTATGTTCTTTCACTCCTTGTGTAATTGAGAAATTCGTGTTTTTACCATCTGAAAAATAGAAGAATTGCATTTTTTTGGTTAGGATTATTCTTTTAGGATAAGAAGAGCCTACTTTCATTTAAAAAGAACAGTTGTTGACTAATACTCCCTGAATACACTATTAGGTATTATAACTATTCTCTACTCAAATTCTTCAAATTCACTAAGTCAGTTTTTACTAGAAAAATGTTTTCTTTCACTTTTTCCCAACTTTTTCTTTCAGTTTTTAGTTTCAGAAATTAAAAGCCCATAGGAACGTTGAAAAAGTAATAAAATTCATACCATATACCATTCATCAAATTTACTAATTGTTACCATTTTACTATATTTGCTTCACCTTTCCTCTCTTTTCTTTGTAAACCATTTAAAATTGAGTTTCAGGCATCATGGCATTTCATCCTTAAATATTTTAACATCATATTCAAAGAACAAGGATGTACTATACATACTACAGTACCACTATCAACCTAATAAAATTAATATTTCCACAATAATATCTAATACTAGACCCATATTCAGATTTCCCCCCAGTTTCTCAGTCTCTTAAAACACTCAACTGAAGAAGCTAGTCAGCTTTCAAGCTTTGTATTTGTTACCTCTTTGCTTCTTTTAGTCAAGAGCAATCCCCTTATCTTTTTTCCTCCATGAAATTGTTTCAATTTTTAAAATATTGTGTGGAGTGTTATTTTAGTTAGCAAGACAACAAAACCTTTTACTGTAAGGAATTTGGGTCATTTTGAATCATATATGGAAATGCTCGAGTATTTATTTAGAATCTCGTAATTGGTGATCATATTATTCCAGGTAGATATGTATTCTGTAGGGTAGCATTTTTCAGTCTTTTTTAATCTTATCAGATAGAGGGAAACTTTAGTTTTTAAAACTTAAAAAAAGTATGCTCTCCTTTCATGTTATTTATCAAATAAAAACTGTTAAGCTCTTTTCAGACTTCATGTTTCCTTCTGGAAACTGACAGTACTTCCTTCATTTCTTTGTGGTTCACTACTATGTTGTGTGAAGCATAAATTATAAAAGGATGTTTGAGGAATATAAAGAATTTAAGTAAAATTATACTAGAAATTACTCACACTCCCATAAGCTGATGATAATTTTACTGGACTTGAATCAGAGGTTTGCAAACTGGCCTACTGCCATATCTGAACTGTTGCCTATTTTTGTATATCCTGTAAGCTATTAATGGTTGAAAAATTCAGAAGTTAATATTTCATGTCATGTGAACATGTCATGAAACTCAAATTTCAGAATCAGTATCAAAAGCTTTAGTAGAACTCTGACATTTGTAGATGTATTGTCTACAGCTGCTTTTGTGCTAAACTAGAAGAGCTGAGTCACTGGGTTAGAGACTTTATGACTCACAAAGCTTAAAATCATACTGTCTGGTCTTTAATAGAAAAGAATTGTCCGCCTCTGCTCCAAAGCAAAAATAGCGTATTTATATGCAGTTACATAGATTTTGCTTTTTCATGTTAGTGACAAGTTTGTACATTTATAACAGGAAATTGTGGCCTAATAACCATACTATATTTTCTCCTTTAAGATTGAAGACCCACTGGCTATTCTTATTCTCTTTGATGAAGCCAGATACAATTTATTGAAGGGCTTTTATACAGCTCCTGATGCTAAACTGATAACGTTGGCAAGTCTACTGTTGCAGATAGTTTATGGAAATTATGAGAGTAAGAAACACAAGCAAGGTTTCCTAAAGTAAGTATTTAATATAATTCATGGTCTTGTGCTATGCCCAAGATTCAGTTTACTAAGAAAGTTTAGAAATATGTTATTAAGAACTATAGACACTGGTTTGGAATTAAATAGTATAAGGCATGGAATGAGAAGAAAACGTATAGTAATGCATTCTTTTAAGTTATATTCTCTCCAAGGTTATTTTTCTTATATTTGAATATAGTGTGAGATGCCTTATACGTGTCTTTCTTTACTGTATGTTTAACTAAGTTCACTAAAACCTTACTTAGATAAGCTGTAACAACAACACAAAAGGTTATAAGGCAGACGCATTTCAGAACCCACCCAAATACCAGTTCATGTTTCACGTTGTGAGGAAACACTGAAGTTTTAGCACACCTAAAGTTTGTTTATTGTAGTTTTCAGCATTCAAAAATATTTTGTGCTTACTGAAAGAAGAAACATTTTTCTAGACTGAGCAATGTTGAGATCACGACTTCTTACTTAAAATGTTGAGTTCTCTGATATTTTAAGTATAGTATTTTTCAGCTCAAAAATCATTTAAAGCCATTTGTATCTAGATGATTATATTACTTTAGCTACTAAAGATAACTTATTTTTAAAATGTTGGGATATTTGCTTACAGTGAAGAAAATCTCAAATCTATTGTACCTATTACCAAATTGAAAAGTAAGGCACCTCACTGGACAAACCGAATACTTCATGAATACAAGGTAAGCTGTTAAATAGAAATAAAAAGACATAACCTAGTTGAAATTTTGTTAGTATTCTTAATGTTTTAAACATGGGTACATTAAATTTATATTCCTGAAATAAAAAAGTTATAATTCACATATCTGAAAGAAAAAGTAGCAGGATACTTTATTTTTAACAATTTTTTACTGAATACCTTCTGAATGCTGGTACTGTGGCAAGTGCTAGAGATTTTTAAAAATAAGAAATAATACACTATCTTTATCCATGCACTTAAAATGTAATAAGCATTGTTTTTAGACCTTGATTTTTCTTTTTTAATAGAAGAACTCAGAAGAAAAGTGCCCTTCGGATAATGTCACACATGTTATTCTTTGGGTTAGCCTTGGTTTTAGAAACTGTTTAGTTGACCTGTCTGGACTGTTAAAGGCATATTCTCCTTTCATCTCCTTATTTTACTTTGTTTTTAGAATCTTAGTACAAGTGAAGGTGTCAGTAAAGAAATGCATCACCTACAGCGTATGTTCTTACAGAATTGTTGGGAAATTCCTACATATGGTGCAGCTTTTTTCACAGGACAGATATTTACAAAGGCAAGCCCCAGTAATCATAAAGTCATTCCTGTGTATGTAGGTGTGAATATAAAAGGACTTCATCTCCTCAACATGGAAACTAAGGTAGATTTTTTATCTTTTCAACTGATTTTGACCAGTCACACTACATATATAATATCTAAAATAACAGTACTAGGCTACATGAACAATTTCATTTATAATAGCAGAGGATGAGGGTTGAAAACAAAATGATTACCAGTAGGGAGTTAATATTAATTGTAGTACATTTCTACATTGAAATACCTTGCAGCCATACAAAAGAATGAAGAATATTTTTGTGTAGAATGATCTCTAGATACATTTGGTGCTGAACCATATGTAATATGCTATCATTCATGTAAAAATGGGTGGAAACGGGTAGTTAATGGAAGAAAACAAAAACACTAACACAGAAAGATACACGCACATCCCTTTTCATTGAAACATTACTTACAGTGGCCAACATAAACAACTTAAGTGTCGTCAGTGGAGAGATGGCTGGAGAAAATGTGTGTGTGTGTGTTATATGTTCTTACAGAATTGTTGGGGAATTCCTACATATGGAGCGGCTTTTTGCAAAGGATAGATATTTACAAAGGCAAGCCCCGGTAGTCATGGAGTCATCCCTGTGTATGTAGGCATGAATATAAAGGTTATACACACACACAATGGAATATTATTATTTGGTCATTAGAAAGAATGAAGTCTTGCCATTGGCAACAATATGGATGGACTTTGAGGGCATTGCGCTAAGTGAAGTAGGTCAGACAAAGATAATGCCACATGATCTCACTTGTGTGTGGTGGGATCTTAAACAAACAGACAAACAAGCTCACAGAAATGAGAACAGACTGGTGGTTGCCAAAGGCAGGGAGGTGAGAGACGGGCAAAATGGGCGAGGGGCCAACAGGTGGGGACTTGAGCCGTAAACTGAGTCACGGGGTGTAGGGTAGAGCATGGTCAATAATGCTGTATTGCATATTTGAAAGTTGCTGAGAGAATAGATCTTAAAACTCCTCATCACAACAAAAAAAAATGTGCTAACGGTGTATGGTGACGAACGTTAACAGCACTTGCAGTATATACAAATACTGAATCATGCTGTATACCTGAAACTAATATAATGTCCTATGTCCATTATACCTCAAAAAATGTGGGCAAGTGAAAACTATATTTACATAAATATGTGTTGTGGTGCTTTTGTATGCAGAAAAAGTTTCTTAGGCCTTTGGAGAAGGGAAACTATGTAACTGGGCATAGGAGAAGGGAGACATTTCACTGTATAGCATTTTGCAACTTAAAAAAAAAATTTAACTGTGATTGTATTATCTATTTAAAAATTAATTAGATATAAATGAAAAAGATTCAAATTTTAAAAGGAAGTAAAATATCTGAAACAAGTGGTTCATTTTGAAAATTTGAATTAGTTACAAGAACATTTTTGGGGACAGGATGAAGTGTGGATAGGACTGTGAATACCTGTTAGAACACTTCAGAGCTTTTCTATTCCACCATCTTGATCTGGCTGCCCCTGCTTCAGAGCTTTTCAGTCAGAGGCTCATTGGGATGTTGTGCTCCTTTTTCTAACCAAAGTCATGATAACATAAATATGGAGTTATCACTTATTTTCAGCATATTTAATACATTTCTCAGGATAAACAGCTTTCTAGTTAGTAATAGGAAGCAAATGAAAGTCTGTTTTGTTTATTCAGATTGATGAAGAATAGACTATTCTCGGACTCAATTTAAGTAATAACTAGGCTTATGTAAGCCTTATGTAAGCTTATGTAAGCCTGATGAACTATGGACAAAGGCTCGTGACATTGTACAGAAGACAAGAATCAAGACCATCCCCAAGAAAAAGAAATGCAAAAAAGCAAAATGGCTCTCTGAGGAGGCTTTACAAATAGCTGTGAAAAGAAGGGAAGCGAAAAGCAAAGGGGAAAAGGAAAGATATACCCATTTGAATGCAGAGTTCCAAAGAATAGCAAGAAGACATAAAGCCTTCCTCAGTGATCAGTGCAAACAAATAGAGGAAAACAATAGAATGGGAAAGACTAGAGAGCTCTTCAAGAAAATTAGAGATACCAAGGGAACTTGTCATGCAAAGATGGGCTCAATAAAGGACAGAAATGGTGTGAACCTAACAGAAGCAGAAGATATTAAGAAGAGGTGACAAGAATACACAGAAGAACTGTACAAAAAAGATCTTCACGACCCAGATAATCACAATGGTGTGATCACTCACCCAGAGCCTGGAATGTGAAGTCAAGTGGGCCTTAGGAAGAATCACTACAAACAAAGCTAGTGAATGTGATGGAATTCCAGTTGAGCTATTTGAAATCCTGAAAGATGATGCTGTGAAAGTGCTGCACTCAATATGCCAGCAAATTTGGAAAACTAAGTAGTGGCCACAGGACTGGAAAAGGTCAGTTTTCCTTCCAATCTCTAAGAAAGGCAATCCCAAAGAATGCTTAAACTACTGCACAATTGCACTCATCTCACACACTAGTAAAGTAATGCTCAAAATTCTCCAAGCCAGGCTTCAGCAATACATGAACTGTGAACTTCCAGATGTTCAAGCTGGTTTTAGAAAAGGCAGAGGAACCAGAGATCAAATTGCCAANTCATGTATGGATGTGAGAGTTGGACTATAAAGAAAGCTGAGCGCCGAAGAATTGATGCTTTTGAACTGTGGTGTTGGAGAAGACTCTTGAGAGTCCCTTGGACTGCAAGGAGATCCAACCAGTACATCCTAAAGATCAGTCCTGGGTGTTCATTGGAAAGACTGATGCTGAAGCTGAAACTCCAATACTTTGGCCACCTCATGCGAAGAGCTGACTCATTGGAAAAGACCCCGATTCTGGGAAAGATTGAGGGCAGGAAGAGAAGGGGACGACAGAGGATGAGATGGTTGGATGGCATCACCGACTTGATGGACATGGGTTTGGGTGGACTCCAGCAGTTGGTGATGGACAGGGAGGCCTGGCGTGCTGCGGTTCATGGGGTCGCCAAGAGTCGGACATGACTGAGAGACTGAACTGAACTGAACTGAAGCTTACATAAAAAGGCATTTTAGATTAGGAAGTTTCACTGTAAACCTAATTTTTATTTTCATCATTTAAGTCTTATTTATGTAAGCACATAACTTCTGAAATGGTAGTTATTTCATGATTACTCAGAATCATTGTTATTGGCAGCAGTTGTTTTACCATACTGTTAGATACGCCTATGAATGGAGATAAAGACTATGCAGGGACATATGCAGAAGAGGGACTGGCTTCAGTAATTCACTTAGAACTTGACTTTATGAAGTCTTTGATATTGGCTTGTTTTTGAGTCATTTGCTTATCATTTTCTATTTAGACTATTTTATTCATACAAAATAAGCTGTTTCTTATTAGCTTATAACTACTTTTTTTATTCCTATTGTACTTTTTGTTAAAGGAAATGAAAGAGAAATTCCCCTTGTCATTTCGAGAAATTTTTCCTCTGCTATTTTAGAGCATTTTATATCAATATCTGCAAATTCTTCTTCATTGAACTGGCTGGTGATGCCATGGGCATAACACTGAGCCTTTTCTCTAAACTGTGTATTATGTTTGACTTTTGGTAGCATTCCAAATTTAGGCAACAGTGAAAAGCTTTATATAGTATTCAAATGATGGCTCAGTAATAGAACATTTCATACTATGAATAATATTCTGTTCCAGGAATTGAGTGAGATAGCAGTTCACAGGCAGAGGATGATAGTAGTATTATTAAGAATCTGCTTTTTCTAGAAATAGAAATGCTGTCATTGGGTATATACAGAGGTGATTGAAACCAAGGGTAACAATGTTTTCTCTCCACATAATCATTACCTGTGTGCTTTGTAAGCTACCGGTAAATTTATGGCACTATAAAGGCTCTAAGATTTTCAGACCATCAAAGATGAGAACAGTCAGCTTGTCGTCAGTTGTCTTAGGTTGACCAAGCCCTAAGGTGTCTATATGGTCAATATGACAGACTTGCTTAGAGTAAACACCTTCATCTGGAAAAATATCCTCATTTGTATCTAAAACTCTGTTTCACTGTGTGCTTTGTGTAAATAACTGTCTTAGGAGATCCTACCCATATGTTATATTTTATAAGTATAGCTATTTGTAAGCAAAATGTTATTATTTTCCCATTATACATGGTTTACACTCATGTAAATTAATTACATTATGTTTCACTTACAGAACCTCCCTTTCAAAATGCCCTAAATCATAATCTTTCTGGCATACCCTTTGTTTGTTTTTTACAATCATTATGTTAAGAACTGCTAGTCCTAGAGAGGTAATGTTTCTAAATATACTTATTTTAAAGGATGGCATGAACATTTTCTTTGTATATATGTATGAAAAGAATATTTTTAGGGTAAGAAAATATAAGTTATTACCTGGAGATAATTATTTCTTAAATAACCAAAATAATATATTGGATTCCTATTTAAATATACCATTATTTAAAACATGTAGGTACAAGGTACTATAATTGTTTTTTAAATAGTTCTGTTGAATATATGAAGGATATATTATTAATTTTTAAAATAATGCTTATATTTACTATAAATATGGGCTTCCCCCATGGCTCAGGTGGTAAAGAATCTGCCTACAATACAGGAGACCTGGGTTTGATCCCTGGGTTGGGAAGATCCCCTGGAGAAGGGAAAGGCTACCCACTCCAATATTCTGGCCTGGAGGATTCCATGGACTATATAGTCCATGGGGTCTCAGAGTCAGACACAGCTGTGACTCTCACTTTCTTTCACTTACTATAAATATAGCTGTGTACTTATTTTCAGTGATATGAAATTGCCTAAGTCACCAATTTTACCACATTAAATAAATTTCAGATCTGAAAGTACTGTATGAATATTCAAAAGGTACTGAATATAATAAAAGGAATTGTTTTTAACCTGCAGAAAGTAAAAACTTTTAGTACACTTAATTTTCTTGAAAACCACTGATAGAACGGGCATCTTTGTTTTCCCATCATTGGGTAAGTTTAAAATGTACAGTGTGTTGATTTATTATACTTATCTATTTCAAAATGGCTACCACTATAGCATTAGCCAACATCTCTATCACATCACATAATTAATGTTTTCTGGTGAAAACATTTAAGATCTACTCTCTTAGCAACTTTCAAACATATAGTACAGTATTGCTAATTATAAGCACCATGCCCCACATTAGATTCCCAGAACTTAATTCATCTTATAACTGAAAGTTTGTACTACTTTGACCAACATCTCAATTCCCCCCACCTGCCAGTCACTGATAAAACCACCATTCTACTCTTTGTTTCAATGAGTTTGGCTTTTTTAGATTCCACATGTAAGTGGTATCATCCTGTGGTATTTCTCTGTCTTTAGCTTAAGGCCCTCACGTTCCATCCATGTTGTTGCAAATCAGAGGATTTCCTTATTTCTCATGGCTGAATGTCCATCCATGTTGTTGCAAATCAGAGGATTTCCTTATTTCTCATGGCTGAATGTGTGTGTGTGTGTGTGTGTGTGTGTATACATAAATAAACATACTTAGTACAGAATGGGCATCTTCAACAAATTTTGTCATTCTGATAAAAAGAGTGTCATTGCTGAAGAAGTCTGCTGTGGCTCTTTGCTGCAGGCTATGTCAAGTTACCAAGTGCACTTTGAACAAGTTTTATTCTAACTTTCAAAACCATTCTGTTTAGACCTGGCTAGATAAGTGTAGATAGTAAGAGAAGATAGGTGTTGTTTTTAATAAATACTTCAGTATTAATGATTTGCAATTATGTTGCAGGCTTTACTCATCAGTCTTAAGTATGGTTGCTTCATGTGGCAGTTGGGAGATGCTGATTCATGTTTTCAGATCCATAGTATGGAAAATAAAATGAGCTTTATAGTACATACAAAACAGGTAAAAGTACCTAATCAGTTCTTGATTTATATGATAGTAATAAACTCTACTGTATTAGTAAAATTATTTCTTTCTTAAAAAATGAAAGTCCATTTTTCTTCAAGTAAAACCTCTTAACGTGAAATTAATATTATTTAAGACCAAGGTAAAAAGGCAGGTCTTTCCTAAACAAAGCAAGAAACTTAGCTGAATAATTTATTGCAGTCTTACAACAATGAAAAATTCCTTCTCAAATACAGAACAGTCTGTCTACTGCATGTATGTCGTTTACACATTCTTATATGCTTCACATTTATTGCTGACATATATTTTACTTTTTAGGCTGGCCTTGTGGTAAAACTACTAATGAAGCTAAATGGACAGTTAATGCCCATGGAAAGAAACTCGTGAGAGGGAAGCTGATACTCAAGTCACCACATTTTGTGATGTAGATTTTTTCCATGAAAGATTTCTTAAACTATTACTTTTAACAAGGCATTTAGTCTCGTGTAATATATATACATATACTATTACATTGTACAGAATCTGTACTCATGTTTGGTGTGTAATATACCAATTAGTTTTATATAATATCCTTGTAAGTTAATTTTTAAGAGAAACACACAAAAATGTGTAGATTGATAGTCTGTATAACATTAGACAAAACAGTAAGCTTTAAAAAAAGTTATTTTTGGTAAATGATAAAGAATTTAGAGGGGACTATGATGAAATTAAAAATATAGCTTTGCTATATCTATGTGTGTGTCATTTCAAAATATATAGAAAGTCATCATAATTTGAATAAAGAAAATATGTTTTCTACTTAAAGCATATATAGCACTATTACTTAAAATGTGTTTTTGTAATCTTTGAACATTTTTCAACATGTTTTTAAGATACTTAGTTAAAATAAGCTAATATATCCCAAAGTATTATAGTTCTTGAAACCCCCGTGTCATAATTATGAGTACCTCTTAAAAACAAGGATTTCAGGGACTCATTCTAGACAAGTTCATTCACTGTCTTCAAAATAGCAGGGCCTGTGTATTTTTCCTTAAGTTTTAGTTTGTTTTCTGTTGATGTAATTTCATACCCAGAAATGAATTTGTATTATTAAAGTTAAGTAAATTATACAAACTTCCTGGCACAAAAACACATACACACATGCAGACTGAGACTAAGGGACAGTCTCTGGCATCAGTTGTTTCATTTATTAAGAACATGCTGTATTTTTCTGAGTTGGCACAATGGTGTAATGTTGCCTTTACGTTGTAGGAAGTAGATCACCAAATACCTGGTGGTTTTTTTTTTTTAGGGGAGCACTGATGTCATATGAGTAGCTAACTTGATTAATCTGCTATTTAATATTGAAATTAGGCTTTCTAAGCTTTCCAAGCTTTGAAATTAGTCTTTCCAATTCCAAGAATTGTTGTATTCAATTCAGAGATAGTCCAGAGATTCAACAATCATATTTAAAATTAGCGTACACATTGCAGATAATTTTTTCATATCATCATCTACTCTTCACATTGACTTCTGCATGTTGTTAATGGTGGTCTGCTGAGCTTTATTAAGATTAGGTGGTTAAGTAAATGAAAAGAGAAGCCCTGATTTGTTTTTGACTCAGTGCTAAGCATTTTTGACTGCATAGACAGTGCTCTGTTCAGTTTCATCCATTTCAGTAGCCTCAGTTATTACCAAATACTCTGTCGACTCCCAGACCTAAAACTCTAGCCTCAGCCTTTCTTCTGAGTTCTTGATCTTAATTTCTTGCTATTCCCGCTCCACCTCAGTGGTTTGCACAAGGAACATCTGTCTCATCACAGCTGGAAGCAGTCTGCTCCCTCTCCTGCCCCATTCTCTCCTTATGCTTGTGTTGTCTGGTTAACGGCATCAAACTGCATGTGGCTGCTCAGCCTGGAAATGTGGGAGTGTTCTATAGCTTTTCTGCCTTTAATCATCTACACATTCCTCTTACCAAGTTCTGTCACATGTCCTGTGAGTCCTTTCCTATTCCCTGCCTGTGTTTGCACCGCAGCCACCATAGTTCAAGTCCTTGCCATCTGTTCCTGGGCTCATTGTAGCATCTTCCCCTGGCTTCCCAACTCAGAGTCTACATTCTGCCCATCTGTTTCTCCACACCTCTCTCATAGATCCAATTATTTCATTACCCTCTGAAAACCCTCCTCACTGCATGTAAAGTTAAATTCCAGTTCCTTAGTACTGAATATGCTAACCCACCTATCCAGGTTAATATCTATCCGTTTCTCCCACACTCATTCTGTGCTTCCAGCCCAGTGCTGCCCAACCCTGGCTCTGCAGAATGTCACATGGGGAGTGTGACATTTACTACTTTATGACTCAATAATTTTAGGTGGGGCTCAAGCATTTCTGTTTTCAAGTATCCCAGGTGATTTTGATATACAGCTTAGGGTTTAGAACTGCTGTTCTAACTAACTCTAGGAGATAGCTGAATGCTTTTTCTTTCTTAGAGGGAGGTGAGGATACATCTCTGCTGCATCAAATAACTCCCTCCTCTACTTAATACCACATACCCTCCTGGAGTTGTGCGGTATGGCAGCTCTGGGAAAAAGGAAGAGGAAACTATTAGAGTAGCGTGGCTATTAAAAGCTTAAAAACATACAGCATTAAGAAGTCAATTTCAAAATTAGTAGGGAAAAAATGCATTATTGTCAGACCACAACAAACCAGAAATAAAGGGGAAATGCAGACAGCTTTTAATGAGTGCCTAGGAGTATATGAGCACTAAGGGTGAAAGATACTATTTTCCTTTTCATCATCCTTTCAATAAATTTGAGTGCCTTTTATATGCCAGGGAGCCAGTGGTAAGAAAACGTCTCTGCCTTCAGAGATCGAAGTTTAATGAGAGAGGCAAAGTACTCATGTAAAAGTTAAAATTACTATTTTAAGCAAAAAGAGGGAAACTTGATAATAGATCAGGAGAGGATTCCTCATGCCAGCATTGCTTGAGCTGGGGTCCAAGGAATAAGCAGGAGTGAATGCTGTGAAGACAGCTGAGGGGAGAGGAGATGAGGTGAGATGTTTTGACCTCAAGGATGGTCTTGGAGAATTGATGGAGGAATTACAATTTTCTCATTTTTAGCTAAGAAGTGAATTCAAACCATTGTTTATCCAAATCGCAGCAAATGAATTTCTATAAATGAATTTCTATAAATGAATTTCTATAAAATAAAACCAGAATAGGTAACACTGTGCATGATGACTGCATTAAGAAGAAGAAAATGTACTGAAGAACCACATCTTATAAGATTTAAAATTGCCAAAATTGACTCTAGAAAGACTTGATGGAAATATTTAACAAGGTAAAACTACCCATAGTTCTTGACCAAATTTAATAAAGGGTTGGATACATTTTATTAGATTTTAATTTGATCCTGAGGAACTCAGTGGCAAAAACTAATTAGAAGAATTTGGTATATGGAAAAAAAAACTGATTTATTAATCAGTTCCTTACTTTATAACAGAAAAAAAACACTTCCAGTGAAATTATTTCAGTAAGATGAAAATAGGAAAAATTTAAATTGTTTTTGCTGTACTGTGTGTATAGAAACTGAAAAATTAAGTTGGTGTGAGTACATGCAAAAAATAGTACCTCAACAAAAATTCATCTGTGATGGTATGATTCCCCTTTAATATTGTATTCATAAAGCCAGAATGCCTCTATGATCATACTTGATATTTGAAGAGGCAGGGATAAGCAGAGTGGAAAGGACCTAAAGCAAAAGAAGGGTAAGCCCTGGAAGTTCTTAGAAATAAGAGTGCTTGAGGCAAAGAAATATATTTTGGACATCTAAGGGTGTAGGTGAGAAAAGCAATTTCAATACATTCGGGCAATTTCAATACATTCGGACAATTTCTATGACAGGAGGAAGTACTGGTTGTTCAGAATCCACTGGAAGGGCACCAAAGATAAGCAGAAAATGAGGCACCTATTTCTCCATTAGAATGCAGAGCTCCAAAGAATAGCCAGGAGAGAGAGATAAGAAAGCCTTCCTCAGCGATCAATGCAAAGAAATAGAGGAAAACAACAGAATGGGAAAGACTAGAGATCTCTTCAAGAAAATTAGAGATACCAAGGAAATATTTCAGGCAAAGATGGGTTTGATAAAGGACAGAAATGGTATGGACCTAACAGAAGCAGAAGATATTAAGAAGAGGTGGCAGGAATACACAGAAGAACTGTACAAAAAAGATCTTCACGACCCAGATAATCACAATGGTGTGATCACTCATACTCACCTAGAGCCAGACATCCTGGAATGTGAAGTCAAGTGGGCCTTAGAAAACATCACTACGAACAAAGCTAGTGGAGGTGATGGAATTCCAGTTGAGCTACTTCAAATCCTGAAAGATGATGCTGTGAAAGTGCTGCACTCAATATGCCAGCAAATTTGGAAAACTCAGCAGTGGCCACAGGACTGGAAAAGGTCAGTTTTCCTTCCCCTAAGAAAGACAATGCCAAAGAATGCTCAAACTACTGCACAATTGCACTCATCTCACACGCTAGTAAAGTCATGCTCCAAATTCTCCAAGCCAGGCTTCAGCAATATGTGAACC